TCTAACCACAACATAATTGACAAAATCCAAATCAAATTAGAAATATAAAATAGATTTACTTAAAATTTATTTATTTTTTTGTATATTATTAGAAAATGATAAATTATTTTATAATAATCTTAAAAAAAATATTGTAAAATAATCTAAAATGAAAATTGCAAAATTATCTAACATTAAAATAATATCCATGATTTATGGTCCTCCCGCACTTTCTGGCTGGGTAGGGCCTAATATTTTTAAAAATAATTCTGCCTGGGTCGGGCTGTTATTATTCAATTTTATTAAATAAATTAATATATTTTATAACTTGCAAGAAATAGGACGTAATATTTTTATTTGTAAATTTATTTTTTACAATTAAAAAATTATTAATTTTTTCTATATTTAAATAAATTCGGACCAAGCCGGGCGGTCTAATAATTTTTATATGGGGTTGCGTTTTTCTGGACACATATATGAAAAAATTGGGGATAGGGCAGAGCCTAACAAATTTTAAAAATAATAAATCATGCTTAAAATATTAATCCCGAAGCAGATCACTAATTGATATCATTTATTAAATTTAAATTCGATGAAAAACCCATATGGAAAAATAAATTTCAGACAAACCGAAATAAAATAGTCACAATTTGACGGGTTGGGTCAGGTTTAACTAACATCAAATAAACTACAATATGAAAATAAAATAATATTCTAATATTTTTCAACTATGCTAATAATATACTAGTGAATATTTATTTAATCAATCAAATTATTCGAATACAAATAAAAAGTAATTCAATAAACATTTACCTGTATGATTCTTATCATTTTGATGTGTCTTAAATATTTCACCCAATTCGGACAATATAATAATTGGCTTGTTTTTCTTCGAACACATTATAGTATTATTTTTTAAATAAAAAAGTCCTTTAATTTTAGATTTTAGTTTAGCATCTAATCCATCAATATTTGTATAATTTTTCGTCATGAGAATTTGTTTAAAAATATTATATTTAGTAAGATTTTTAGGTAACTAATTGGGGCATTATTAAAAATATTAATATTTTGAATTATAAATATATAAAAAAGAAATTTGAAATTAAGTATTAACTTGAAAAAAAATTCTAAATCTTAACTTTTTTATTTCCTTTTATAAAATTTTTTTTTTTTCTTTTCCTTTTATTATAGGAAAAAAAATTGAAAGAAATTTTTGTTTGTAGTATTTTTATCATTAATCATTTCCTAAAAAATAAATCTTACTATATAATGAACATTATATTGAATGAAATAAAATGGAAATAAATTATGACATTAACATTATTGAAAATTAAATATTTTAAAATAGAGAAGGAGAAAGAGGGAGATAAGAAGAAAGGAAGCATTTTATAATGTTGTTAAAAGCTACTTTTAAAAATAGCGTGCTTTACCGCTATTTTATAAAAATAAAAAGGCGCGTTATCGCTATATTTTCAAAAATGTAGCGCACTATCTTATGGCCAGTTGAAATATAGCTTGTTTAGACTAGGCCATAAAATCACATAAACTCATCTAACTCAAACACATTATAGATGCTCTAATTTTTTTTAAAGATATATTTTTGTTTGATATATTACCTTTAAATGTTTTCTCAAGTTGAAGCAACTTTTGATAATAAAACCTCGTCCACATCTTTCAGCAAAATTTATATCCTGTGTTAATTTTTTTTATCGAGATTAAAATAATTTGTGAATTAAGGAAAAGGAAATTCCATATCATCATCATTTTCAAGGGATATTCCTTTGTCGATATGATCTGTACCAAAATTATTTTTATTATCATTCTCTACTGTCGACATTTAAAAATTTTTATTCTTTTGAAAAATATATTTACAATGCATATTTTTAAATGTAAATAAAATAAAAATATTATGATTTTAGAATTAATTATAAAATTATTATAATAATTTTTGCTATTTATTTAGTAACGAGCTACCGTTATCTCTTTTTTAAAAAAATGTTGCTCGCTAAAGATATCGATACTAAATAAATAGCTATGGAATATCGTGCTAATATAGAACACTGCAAATTATATATTTCTAAAAAAATTGTTTTATCTTCATTCTCTTTTATTTCTGTAAATTCTATCCAACTAGACATTTTGTTAATATGTTGAGGGCCTGGCAGTCATACCCATCAAGACAAAAAATAAATGCTTTCTATCTAAAGATATTTAAATGAGCTTTTATTTGATACCCATATCTTTTATGTTGATTAAAATATTCGTAACCCTCCAAGACCTAGACCCGCCCTCTATAGTGATTATTATTATTACTATAAAAAAATATTATAATTACCTTTTATATAATACCCATATCAAAAAAATTATTTTTTACACCCCCCACCACCCCCCAGACCAAGTCATACCCATCAAGACCAAGAATAAAGACTTTCAGTCAAACCATATTAAAATTAGCTTTTATTAAAAACCCATATCAAAAAAAATATTTTTAAGACCCCCCCCCAGCTTACCCACTCCCTTAGACCGCCCATTATGGGGCAGAAATTGATTTCCAATTGAATAGATCTTTTGATTAACTATCGATTGATACCCATATCAAAAAATTATTTTTTACACTCCCCCCCACCCCTACCTCCCTAGACCGCCCATTATGGGGCAGAGATTGACCTCCAGTTGAATAGATCTTTTGATTAGCTATCGATTGATACCCATATAAAAAAAAATATTTTTTACACCCCCCCCACCCCTACCCCCTTAAACCGCCCATTAAGGGGCAGAGATTTACCTCCAGTTGAATAGATCTTTTGATTAGCTATCGATTGATATCCATATCAAAAAAAATTATTTTTTACACCCCCCTACCCCCCTAGATTGCCCTTTAGGGGGCAGAGATTCACCTTCAGTTGAATAGATCTTTTGATTAGCTATCGATTGATACCCATATCAAAAAAATTATTTTTACACCCCCCTACCCCTACCCGCTAGACCGCCCATTAGGGGCAGAGATTCACCTCCAGTTTAATAGATCTTTTGATTAGCTATCGATTGATACCCATATCAAAAAAAATTATTTTTTACATCCCCCCGCCCCCCCCATCCCTACCCCCTAGACCGCCCATTATGAGGCAAAGATTGACATCCAGTTGAATAGATCTTTTGATTAGCTATCGATTGATACCCATATCAAAATTAATATTTTTTACACCCCCAACCCCCACCCCTCATTCCTAGACCGCCCATTAGGGGGCAGAGATTCACCTCCAGTTGAATAGATTTTTTGATTAGCTATCGATTGATACCCATATCAAAAAAATTATTATTTACACCCCCCCCCTACCCCCTAGACCGCCCATTAGGAGGCAGAGATTCACCTCCAGTTGAATAGCTATCGATTGATACCTTATACTTGACATATCTTATATCATAATGCCAAAAAAACAAAATTGAAAATTAAAAACGCAACGAAACTCGTGGAAAACGCTTTTAAAATAAGATTTCACGACTAAAACGTGATAATCCCATATTATCATTCCTTAATTGAAAACCCTAATTTTTTAGTTATCCCTTTAAATCCCGTGAAGATCCCGGATAGTTCTGATCCCTTTAAAAATTACGACATATATATATATGTATTATAAAAAAACAATTTAAACGAAATACATAGTTTTAAAATAAAAACAATTTAAGTTAAACAAATTTAAAAAGTCAATCTCGATTAACATACCCCTTCTTCCGCGAAGCCTTCCCATAATCCATCTGAGCTGTCATAGCAAGCTTGTCGTCCAAATGATTTATCATTTTGATTGTCAAGTTGTTGCATATGTCGTCTTAATCGTTAGCTTGTTAAATCGTAAGCTTCATCTCAGTGGTTATTATTATCAATTTTTTAAAATTGTTATTATCATTATTATTATCAAATAGGATGTTGGGATATAAGAATAATCAGAGAATTGATCAAATTTGGATGTTAGAACAATAAAAGGATGATAAATCAACAAGATTGTTAGATAATATTTTTAGCGTTATTTTTATTTTGCGTTTTCCAATTTATTTTTTCGCGTTTTAGTATTTAATTTTTTTACATGTTTTAATATTCTAAGTTATATAATCTTTTAGACAAACAGGTTTTTGTCTAGTTCGTATCGGTCTAGGAGTCGGTATTACAATATATTTATCATTAGTTTTAAATTTCAATATTTCCAATAACATCATCACTTCTTGTGGTAATCTTGAAAGGCAGTCAGGAACAACATTATATTTACCTGCTTTATACTTTATGTTGAAATCGTAACCCCCCAAAGTGATATTCCACTTTTGTAACCTTAAGGACATGGTACTATTGTCCTTGAGTCCCTTGGTAAAAATGTGGACTAGTGGTTTATGGTCCGTGATGATAGTAAATTTAGTCCCAACCAAATATTCTTGAAATCTTTTAATTGCACATTATGGCAAGAGCCTCACGCTCAATATTGGTGTAATTTATTTAGGATTTTGTTAAGGTTCTAGATGCAAAAGCAATGGGTTTTTCTTTGCCATCTTTCTCTGTGTGAAATAGTACAGCCCCTAATCCAGAATTGGATGTATCATTCGCAATCCCAATAGGTAATTCCGGATTAAAATACATCAGTGCTGGCGGGAGACTAATCAACTTCTTTAAATCGTTAAAACTTCTGGAATGTTCTAAGTTCAATTCCCATCTTTCTTTGTTGACCATTTTGTACAACGGATCAGCAATATCAGTGAAGTTATTCAAAAATTTTCTATAATAACCAGCCATTCGATTTTGGTTCTGGCATATTAATTATTGCTTCAATTTTATCATGGTTAGCATGAATTCCCTTGTCATCTATATCGTGACCCAGGAACCTAACTTTATTTTTTTTAAATAAACTTTTGGCGAAGTTAGGTATTAACCCGTACGATAATATTCTCTCAAAGACCTTTTTGATGTTGTTTAAATGTGCTTCATCGTTATTTCAGTTATTAATAAGTCATCAATATAAAATATTACATCTTTCATATCACCGAAAATCTGATCCATGATTTGTTGGAATATAGCAGATGTAGTTTTCAACCCAAAAGGAAGTCTGGTAAATTGGTAGTATCCCTTGTGTAGATATAGTCAAAAATTTTCTGATATTTTTATCAATCGGAACTTGTAGAAAAGCATTTTTGGAATCGATTTTGGTAATTTTTTTTCCTTCTGAAAGTTTAGCTATAAGATCATTTATACTTGGAAGTGGGTATCTAAAGTCTTCGAGAGCTGGGTATATAGTGTCTTTAAAATCTGCGCAAAGCCTGATGCTCCCATCATCTTTGTATACGGCGGTTATAGGACTCGCCCATCGCACATCATTTACAGGCTCAATAATTTTTTCGTGTATCCATCTATTCAGTTCTTCGCCCACAAGATCAATCTTTGAATACGGTATACATTTTGGTGGTATTATTTTAGGTTGGGCGTCACATCTTAAATGTAATTTGACATTTACTTTGTTAATTGGTTCGCTAGTCAATTTGGATTCACAATCTTTAATAAGTTTATTGATTTCGTCTTCATAATTGGTGTCGACATTTCCCACGAATTTATTTAAAATATTTTTAAAGGCATTGATCCAGATTCTTCCTAATAACGCGTTCTTTCTCGACTCTACAACTACTGCTAGTAAATATTTAGTGATTCCTTCATAACTTACTTTAACCTAAGTTGTCCCGATGATTTTAATCAAGTTTCCGTCGTCTGGATTTCTTCATTTCTCTTATATCAATTTTTTTAGCCATATCATGAGGTATGATGGTATACTTTGATCCAGTGTCAACCTGCACAGTAGTAGTAACATTATTTAATTTCAAAGTAGTCATAAAAGCACGGTCATCACCTTTGTCTGTATTTTCAGCCAGGTTGTTGACATTGAAATCATTCTCATTATTGTCTTTGGTAGTGCCAACTTTATTTTCCCCAACTCCTTCAATGTTCATATTACAATTATTGCTATCGTAGAAGTTTTGATTATCATACTGGATTTGTTTTCTTTGATTAAAATCCTTCCACCGATTACGATCGTCATATTCGATTTGTTTTCTTTGGTTATCCTTATTATGCCACCTGTTTTTTCCTTCATAATTATTTGAATTGTTGTTATAAGATCGGTAATTATTATGATTTTGATCGTCACGAATCTGCCTCCTCTGATTATAATTAAACCAGGCGTTGTTCCTACCATAGTTGTTGTTATAAGATTGATGATTATTATTATGAAAGTTTCTGTTGCTATTGTTATACCGATAATTGTAATTTTGATAGTTACTATCATTATACTGATTATTTCTATAGTTGTTATTATTATAATTGTTATTGTTTCTAACGTTACTAAAATTTTTATTCTTGTTGTGGTTAACATTACTAAAATTGTTATCACTATAATTTCTATTCCTACTATCAAAATTTTGCCTCGAATAATAATTAGGTCTATTATAGTTACTATTAATCTCATTCCTATTAGAAGTACTTTGGATATCTAAATTCTTATCATTATTTCTAATATTGTAATTATTTTTATTAAATTTTTTATCCCTACTAAAAACATAATTATCATTGTCACTTTCTGATTTAATGTTAATACTATCTAATTTTCTTCCTATTTCAATCATTTCGTCTAATGTATAGTTAATATTTTTATTTAATTTATTTTTTATATTGTCGTTTAAACTAGATGTTCTCAATTTTTCTTTTATGCGATCATCATTAATAAAATTACATTGTCTACTTAATTTAGACAGTCTAAAAAACCAATCCAAAAAAGATTCATTAACATCTTGTGAAGCAAGGTTAAACTTCCCAGTCAATATTCAAACATCTTGATTGGGTAATAAAAATTTTAATTTTTTAATAATAATTTTATAATCTTCGATATCTTCCTTAGTACATAATGACTTAATTTTATCGTATAGGTCATCAGATAAATTGCTCATCAACGTTTCGATTTTTATTGAGTCGGATAAAATTATTTGAGAGAAATAATCGTCAAGTCTCTCCAAAAATATGTCCGTCAAGCATCCCTCCAATTTTGGGAACTTAACTTCCCTGTTGGAGGATATGCTAATTTTATCATCCATAATGCAGATTTTTATTTAACAACTTTATTTAAATTAGCAAAGATAAATATTGTCACTATTATGTATTCAATTTTTTTTTTTATCCAAATTGGAAATTTTTATTTTAAAACTTTATTTACATTACCATAAAGATATATATATTGTCGTTGTAAAGTCATATAAAAAAAATTTTTTTTAACTTTGTGTGTGTCCTTTATATCGAATAATTTTTTTTATTTTTTATATTTATCGGCATATGCACAATATATGTGAGATTTTTTTATATATCATTGTGCGTGAGTTATCATACAAAGCGGGGCACCATGTTATATAGAGATAACGGTGGTGATAGGTGTTTTTTATTTATAATAAATTTATTCTAAAACTAAAAATGATACTAAAAATAAATATAAAATAAGGTGTATATATATATATATATTTATATATGTATTATAAAAAAACAATTTAAACGAAATACATAGTTAAAGGCTAACATGTTTAAAATAAAAACAATTTAAGTTAATCAAATTTAAAAGTCAATTTCGATTAACATTTACATATATCAATTTTCTTTTATCAAATATATTATCTATATATGCATTTTTTAAATCATCAATTTTAAAATAAACAATTGTCTAAAGAAAAGAATATAATATTTAAATTATGCGATATCAAAATAATAATAGAAAATAAAAAAAACGAAATTACTTAAGTTACGCGTTACTAAAATAGTAATATAAGACTAATCACTTAAGTTACGCATTACATAAATAGTCAAATGAAATAATAAATTGATTTAAATTTATATGTAACAGAAAAAAACACCGATTTTTATAATCAAATCCGGGTTTCTATTTAATATTTAAACAATATTTAACAATGTGCCATTTTAAAGGGCAATCATTATATAAAGAAATTTAAATGACGCTTCTAGTTCATAGATCTGACATATCTATAATTAGGGAGTGTATTTTGTATAAAATGTCTTGTTTTCTTATCGTTAGAGCTTTATCTTTATATGATGGTTTCTCACATTTGGAATTCATTTTTATTAAATGTCTCACTAACATAAAGCGATTATATAGAACGTTTGCTTAGTCTAGGAAAGATAATATTTAGAGTAAGCCTATTATTCTTTCGAATGATAGATTTTATCGAATAGTAAGAATATTCAACGAATTCTTTGAATAACTTGTATATTCGAAAAATCATTCAAATAGATCGTTTATTCAAATAATTTGTTTTATCTGAATTGAATTATTCCCATAATTTGTTTTATTCAAATCGAATTAATCTCATGTCTTTTGATAATCTATCAATATGACATGATTAAAAGGTTATGCATCAATTGAATGTGATTATGAATGTAAATTTCACGTGAAACTATAATTAACCCTTTCGAGCCCAAAATATTTCCCGTGAACAAAAAAATTTTTTTCTAATGAATTATTCCCATAATTTGTTTTATTCAAATCGAATTAATTTCATTTCTTTTGATAATCTATCAATATGACATGATTAAAAGGTTATGCATCAATTGAATGTGATTATGAATGTAAATTTCACGTGAAACTATAATTAACCCTTTCGCGCCCAAAATATTTCCCGTGAACAAAAATTTTTTTTTATAAAACTTAGTTAAACAAGACACAAATAACACATTTTCAACGTTTTTTTATTTAAAAAAGTGTATAAATATAGAATTATGAATTGTTACCAATTATCATCATTGGGACATTAATATGTAAATACAATTTATTTTGAATGATAAGAAATAAAACAATTGCGATTTTTATTTAAACATAAAGATATTTTACATTTTATACATTCAAATCTTGAATAACCATTTATGCAGTACTTGCATCTGTGTCTACTAACCGCTGATGGCCAATGCCCTGTTTTATCTAATCTGATATCTGGGATTGGATGAAAACTATTCAACTTCCTTCTTTTTTTTTCAATCTTCAACGTAAGTCTACCTTCTTTTCCATCATTTTCCTTTCCAACCATCATCAATCCTTTAGCTATCTGAGCTTTAAATACTAAAAGGGATACATGTTTACTATTTTTCTGTTTCATGTGGCGTCTATAGAGCAACCATGAATTCACTACACAGGAATCTAATAAATGAAAGAAAACTCATGTAAAAACGCTTCCATTTTATGTCAGTTCTGTAGAGTTTAATTAGCATATCATGGAGATCCACCCCGCCCATACCACTGTTATAGTCTTGAAATATAGCCGGAATTTTGACATTGATAAAAGATTTATCAGACACTGACCATCTTCTCGTTCGTGATATGGGATGTATACCCATAAATGATGATATGGTGATAACCGATTTGTTATCAAACCATTTGCAAATTATAATATTATTAGAATCCACTTTATAATCATGGGACCCTCTTCCTTTTTCCTTTAAGATTTTATCATCAACCAGATGGCATTTCGATAATCAATTAGATCTAAGGGTCCCCGACATGATAAACCCATTATCTTTGAGCGCAGCTGCTAAATTATATGAAGAAAAAAGTTATCCATGTAAATTTTATGATATTTATGTGGGGGAACAGTTTCTAATAGTCTATAACAATTCCGCTAATTCCCATCAAAGTTTTTTTTATATTTGTGGATTTTCCTAAATATATTTCGAAATTATATAGCATTCCAGATGATCCACATAAAGCGAAAATTTTAATTCCCCATTTATGCGGTTTTGGGCTAATATATTGTTTAAATTTATCTCCCTCTGGTATAATATATATTGAGATCATCTAAAAATTATTTATAAAAATTTTTAAAAAGTGTTATAAAAAAAATTTCCACTTAACTTTTTGCAAATATTATAGTTTATAAATGGGAAATAACCTATATTCAATTCTTACTATATCATATTTATATTTAATTGTAAAAAATTTATGAAAAAAATTTGGATTTCCTTCAAAAAATCATATAAATAATAGTATTGTTAATTTTTTTTTTACTAAATATGATATTCTATTATAAAAACATATTGTGTAAAAATTTAGGCGCGTAAAATACCTATCTTTGAACTTGTATTTTCCGTGATCCGTGATATATAGCGCATATGCCCTCTGGCGTTGAATAAACAACATTGGAACATAAGTTAATTTGGGAGAAAGTTTAAAAAAATATGAGGAGCCCTCTACGCGTTTGCGGGCAAGCCGTACGTACTTGTACATCAGATTTGTAAGCAATGCTCTTGCCAATTAGGAATTTTGATATAATAAAATAATGATTTTGACAGGTTAATGATAAAATACGAAATAATAAATATTGTTTTGTAAATTCATGTGTCTAAGTAGCAACCATTAGTTTTTTAAATATAAAAATTAATTGATTAAAAATTTTGATGACAAATGATCTCGCTGGGCGAAAGTTAAGGGAAATTTGTGTAAAAACGGGAAATAGCGGGAAACAACAGGAAAAAACTAGAGATTTCCTTTTAAAAAATATTTTAAAAGTCAATAGTTTTTTTGTTTTATTAAAAATATAGATTATTAACATATTATTTAAACAAGTATTATATAATTTTAATTATCTTCGTTTTGAGGATAAAATTCAGGTATTTTATATTTTTTAAATCTATAATTTCGTTCTACAAGAGATTTGAGATTGTTTTATAATTGTTAAATATCTCCTATAAATAAATGCTTTTAGAAAAGTCAGAAAAAAAATTGGATTTATCCGCTTACACTAATGGCTTTATAATGTATAATACAGGATTTAAAAAACCTTCGTTGTGAAGAAGAGTAAATCTCTTATCTCTATCCATAAAAAATAACAAATATTGCCATACCCTGCGAAAACATTTTTACAAAACTATGCTTGCTCAGCAAGTTTGGCTAGGCAACTTCAAGGAAACTATTCTATTTTTTCTAAATATATGTTTTTCTTAAATGTTGCTAAAAGTATATTGTGGATTTTATATAATTTATAATACTTTTGGCCTTTGCTACTAATATTGGAATTGACAATATTTTATTTGCATATTTTAAGAGCAAAATAGGTATATGAGATCCATACCAAATGCATTCGATGGTTGAATATTTATTTTACCATAGATTTATAAGAAATGGAATTAATGAATTGCAAAATATGTAATAATAAACATAATATCACCAAAAGCAATAGACATCAAAAAATAGTTTAGTTGAAAATTGACAGGATTATGATGAATCACATTTTTTTAAAAATAGTAAATTCTAACATGATTTGTCATATCTATAAAAGCCATGTCACAATTTATAATATATATTTAAATAATCGTGAATTTTGAAAAGCGTCTGTGTCCTAATCGGCCGTCGCTTACAAATGTGATGGTTTTTAGTTCGAATCCCAGCAAAGGTAATTTTTTCTTAATCTAACTTGGTATTTTTTTTCTTAATCCAACTTGGTAGTTCCATCCTTTGAGATGGACATTAACTTAATTCTCATTGGACCTGAAAATGTTGTCATTTGCAGATCTCTGTGGCAAATGCACGGGAAAATAGAAGTGGCAGATGCATATTATTTATAAATGGATTCTTTGGCAAAATCCATTATGATCTACTGTTTCCGACGTCATCCTGAACAGAGGTCTGCAATGGATAAGTTTTGGTAAACCTGCCTGCTCATTTATTTAAAAATTTTGTTTAACTTGCCTGTACAATTATATTGGTTGATTGGCTTTTTATGTATTATTTTAATGTTTTTTACTTAACTTATAAACTATGAAACAAAAAATAATATCTAATAAATAGAAGTAAGTTGCTCATTTTGACTGAAATATATTTCAAATTCACCTACCCATTGTTTTAAAAATATCCACTCACCAACCCAATATCTAGGTTTAAGGATTTGGACTTATTAAGAAAGTCAAATTGGCTATGAGAAATTAACCAATTGGAAGAACATCACAGATTGTTCCATCATCAAGATACCAAAAATTTATATCCAAATTAAATTTAAGATAATAGATGATAGGTAAAATAAATGAGGATATGTGCTCCCTGCTGGAT